TCAACTCTTTCGATCCGACAATTTGTTCCTCCAGAATTAGTATAATTAAAAAAATAACTTAACGAATCTTTTTGAAATTATACTCGTTGCATCTTTTAATTCTTTTATCTATTTATATACCTAATGATTATCATTTTTTTAAAAGATATAGTCAAATAATTAAGTATAATTAATATTTAAAAATTACCAAGATTTTTAAATTATTAGATTTCAAATATTTTATTTTTGCAATAATTAAAAATAATTTTTTAAATTAACAATAACTTTCACGATACTTATTTATAATAAATTCGTGGATGAGTTGATTTTATTAAAGAAAAAAAGAGCAACGATATCAGTTACTATTTTAATAAACTAGAAAATCAAATGAGACAAACATAAATTTTTATTTTAATTTTCAAATTAAAAACAACGATCCGAAAAATTAATATTGCGAATAATATTAAGTTTCATTCACAGCACATTATCTATTGAGATGATTCGAAACGTTCATTCGTTAAGAAAATATCCATAAATTTATCACGATATTTTCTTTGTTTCTGAAGAATAAATATTCTTCTACTTTTTGGCAAAGGATACGATCTGCAGGATACTGGAGTTCTACCGGAAGATGCATCGATAATGCATAGCGTTATCGATTCTTGGTACACATTGGCAAGTTCGTGGAGTAAATATCGATCCGTGGCGGAGAAGCGACGTGCCCCGTTTTCCGCGCCTCTATAATTCATCGTCACTCCGTTTCCTGGTCTTTGTGCTTCCTGGTCGAAGCTTCTTTGAATTGATATCAAGATATCGTGTCTTTGGAATGTCATCGGTCGTGAATCCTTATCTCCAAGTGCATCAATCATTGTTGAATGAATCTATAAATTAAAACTTTACACTTGATGCAAATTGTACGATACAGTGTCATTGCGATTTCACCAGCGCTGATGACGGCGATCTGCCACTTTTGTATTTTTAATGGAAAGAATTTTTCACGTTCGTCTCACGTTAACAGAGACGTAGAATTAGCATGAATTTTATAACATTATGGTGATGAAATTGTCCAAGATACTTAAAATAAAATATATTTAATATCGAACAATTTTATTATTGGATTATTAAAACTTGAATAAAATTTAAATATAATTCGAAATGAATGTCTTTTACGACTAATTAATTCTAGTAAAAATTTCAAAAAGTTCTCTCCTTTTTTTCTTAAATAATTTAATACGAATAAGATTTAAAAAAAAGTTACTGTGAAATATCCAACTGCGAAGAGTGTAAATTATAATCTTTGCAATGCTAAGAAAATAACTTTATTATAACAAACGAGTGATGATTAAATATTGAAAAATAATAGACATTTATAAACTTTAGTTAACGATTACTGTCTTGGTAGAGACCAGCTGATCGATTTCAAAGGAAACGCTACAGACTTGAACTAGTTTCACGAACTGACCCTAACAACACGTATCTGGTTGATGCATGCGGAACATCGTCCAAGGTTTGAATTTGACAATATCATAATTAAATTCTGTTCCGATGAGTGTCATTGAACATATTAAAAAAAAAAAAAAAAAGAAACGAATTTACTCTATTTATTCTAAAAATTAATAATAAAAATATTAGGAGCTATAATAACAAATACATAGATACAATCCCAAAATGGATCATATATATATATATATATATACAAAATTAAATTAAAAATATCTAGAATTTTAAATTATATCTTTTTTGAACATTTTCTCTGCAACTCCTATTGAAGCGCAAAAAGTATAAAAGGACATAGAAACGGGTCCAAAGAAATTAAAAAAATAAAATTTGCAATCCAATCATCGATCAGGCTCGAAAGAAGATCCGGCCAGCGACAAATTTAATACCCACTTAACATAATCCCACGAAACTCTGTCGTTTCAAGGGCGAAGGTAAAGGACGAAATCGCGGGGATAAAATCGACTGGTTTTTAAGGCAAAAGTTTCTCTCCTCGCCTCTCTAGGAAACGTATTTCAGACCTGTAATATTCGTTCGGGTCCTTGTTGGCAGAAAGGCCGGATAGAGAGGGAGAGAGAGAGAGATGGAGGGTAGAGAGACGAGAAGGTAGGAGGGTGGCGAGGGAAAAATAATCTCCCAGCGGGATTTTCGACCCTTGCCGCGTTTCGCATCAGGGATAGGAAGAGACCCTGGTGATCGTTAGCACGGAAGGGGACTTTGAAAAACGTCTCTTCGTGAGAGAGGCAGCTGCTGCTGCTGCTGCTGCTGCTGCTGCTGCTGATGCCGCCGCCGCTGCTGCCGAGCTCGAGCCGAGGCGGGCATTGAAAAGGGAGCGACAAAGGGACAGGCCTGACCCTCGGGGAGCGTAGCGGGAAAACGAGTCCTGCATGCTTTCCTCTGTCTCAATGGAATACGTTAGGACGTAGTTTGAAAAATTCAGAGAGTAGAATCTCTTCGTGGAAGAAGGAAGAAGGGCTTTTTTTCTTCTTTCTTTTTCGAAACGTGTTTTCCAAAGAATTTTTTCTTTCCACGAGAAGAATCGGAGTGGAATCATTCAACGATTCTCATTTTCTTGTGGAATGGCTTGGAATTAACGATCGATAAATATCTTGAAATGTTACAATACAACTCGTATTGTTTTAGATTTAATTAGATTTAAATCAACAAGATCGATAATCGAAATAATTTAAATCAATCTAATCAATCTAATTGTGACAAGGTATTTATACCTTGAATGAAAGCGTATATCTCGTAAAGATCTCCTAAAGTCTCGAGAGTATCGCGTTTCTGTCATCGTATGTAAAGAGGTCTAACAAATGATATGCTATAGATAATTGCGTTAATAATAAGCGTATCGTGATATCATCAAGACTTTTCTATTAGACTAGCATTGCATTATTCAGGATGTTATTAAGCTGAACTTTATAGCTGCATCCAACGTGCAAAATGCAAAATGAAGGATCTTCGATCCGAATGTAACATAAATAGTATAACAGCATTAGGAAAACGCGTTTTACATTCCTCCAGAGTTAATTAATTTTAATACATCCTTCTCCTTCGTAACAATCATCAAAATCATCTCTCTGACTAATTCTTCGTTTCCCTATGATCGTTATGAATTTTGAATCTCGTTACTCGTTTTCTCCAATTTTAATCGATTAATCGTATTTTTTAGTCCGTACGATTATAGTTCACGATGGAATTGAGAAGATGCTCGTTAAGAAGATATATGAATACATACGAATACTCAAAAATTTAATCCAGATATAGTGTTTCAGGGATCAAGTACAACAAATGTATACTTACGTTTCAACATGGGATCGTTTCATGCCCTCCCTCTTTCTCCCGAACGTACACTTTCTCCCATCATTTTATCACTTTCCTATCTCCTGCCGTAGGCTAAACTATAGACAAGGCCGCGGAATCATGGTGATGGATCACGGCGACAACGCGATTACAGCACAGCCAAGCGACGAGATATGTCGATTGATAGACAAAGAGGAGACGAGGAGAAGATCCAGCGATAGGAGGAGGAGAGGACGAAAGAGAGGAGGGAATGTGTGCCAATGAGAAAGAGGAGACGATACCTATCTACCTCCCAGGGTAGGATGGTAGGAGGGAATCGAAAGTAGAAGGAAGAGCGCGAAGAGAGAGAGAGAGGAGAGTGGTAGTTAGGGTGGTGCAGAGGGGGTGGCGGAGAAGGGTGTCCCTCAAATCGCCCCCGCCATGGTAACGTCGTCGTAGCACGTGCTTGCTACGTCACCGGCCGTGTTTACAGAGAGATACCTATAGCCGTACTCGTGACCTTGTGTTTTGTATATATCATCCTCCCTCCTGACGGCCGCGGGATACCCCTGCCCCCCTCCCCCCGCGGACCCGGGAATACCCCCATCCGGGTATCGTCTCTCCTCTCGGTTTCGACCTCGGAGCTCCGGGTACACGAGAGAGCTCCTCAAACTCCCCATGAGGCAACCAGTTGTTCCGTCTGTGACGTAACGGGGTATCACACGACCTGTCAGTGCTTTGTTGCCTCCTGTCCCGCTTCCACCCCCTTCGCGGGACCGCCTCTCCCTTTCCCTCTGTCTCTCTCGCTCCCTCGCCCGGCCATCCACGCCACGTTTTCTTTCTCCTTCTGCCTCACGCCCTTTCTCTCTTCCCACGTCCACGTACTCCGTCCACCCAACGGTATGTAATACGGTTCACATTCTCGCCTCTGTCTAGCCGCTACGCTTTTCCCCGTGTCTCTCTTCGGCTTCGGCTCTTCGCGTCCGTGTACAGGGTGTCTCTGCGATTCTGTGATTTTTAACAGGGATTTTTAACGGGGAATGGGAAAAAAACACGTTGAATTTTTGGAGGTGAGACTCTACTGAGACTTTCTGACAGGGTGGCAATTTTGAAAATTATGGTGAAAATTTTTTTTCTTCTACGCTTACGGTAAAAGTAAATCGGATATAAATGGAAATTGGGATTTGGAAACATCATTTTTTTCAATAAGATTGGATATATATAAATATATATTACGTTCATCGAATTTTTAAACTCGATTTTCTCGGAAGGCGAGGCTTCGAATAAAAAAAAATTCTTTTTTTTCTTCCCTTATTTTTCGACGCGAAGAATAATCCTCTAAGAATCCTCTGCTTATCATGATCAAATTCATGTTTATTATTTTTTAATTCTATTTTTTCGAAAACGAAAAAACTCCATTCCTCTTTTCCCACTTACTTCTCCATACAAAATAACATTCCTATTTACTTGTGAAACACCCAGTATACGCTTATCTCTCTCTTTTTCTCTCCCTCTCTCTTTTCTCCTTCTCTGTTCTATAACTAGTGGTTCGGAATTCCCTTTCCCGTATACTCTCGGTCTCCTTCATCGCGATGCCCTATACCGCGTGGGTAACTCTTTGCACTCTCTCTCTCTCTCTCTCTCTCTCTCTTATCAACCGTATGTACAAGCTGCTCTGTACATATTCGTGCGTGTGTATGCAGAGTTATACGAGATTGTGTGCAAAGCTTGCGATGCTCGAAAGAGAGTGAAAGTGAGAGAGAGAGACTGTTGGGAGAGAGGATGGTTTAAATGGGTGAATACATCGCCTCGAAGGTCGTGCCAGAACTTACTGGGTCACTGGAACGACGGTGATGACCCCGTGCTCCTTTCCTCTGATTTCATTCTGGTTTGATGCATGAAGAATCGGAGCGTCTTGCGACAGGGTTGCATTGATGAGCGTGTGTCGCGTTTCCGGTATAGGCGAGGCTTCCGTAGTACGTACAAAAGGATAAGAGGTCGTGGCGAGATTGAGGATGATGGCCCGTGTGCTTCATCTTTGAATAAGCGAATCGACGAGAATCGAGGGAGATTTTGGAATTCGAAAATATAAGAATAATGCAGTTTTTATTATCGTTTCGCTCGTTTCAGGATTAAAATTTTATTCTGATGATTGTGAATTTAATGGTTGGTTTTTTCTTATTTTTTTCTTTTTTACTCGAAAAGTAAGATTCTTAAGATTTTTGCTGCCTATGATTGGAATTTTTTCTTTTTTAATCTTTATGCTTTTTTTCTTGTTTTCTTTGGAAACAAGTGAGATCGATTTAACTGTGAGAATGACAGATGATCGATAAAGAGTGTATATGTATATTAATTGTCTCGTAAAAATATTAATCGAAAGTATGTTGTATTTTATTGTTAGATTTAGTTTGGTTCTTACTGCTGGAAGAAGAATATATTGTTTCAATATATTGTAAATGCATATTATTGCCTATTAAATAATATTTTAGATAACTTAAATAGTTTAGTTATCTAACTTAGTTTAAATTTAAAAAAACTATTAGTAAATTTAAACTTTGCTTGAAAAACCTCTTTGCTTAACAAAGTACTTGAAAAAAATATGAAAATTAATTTCTTTAAATGCATATAAATTATATATATTTTTTCCTTGCACTTGTGTTTCTCACTTTTCATTAATTTCATTACTTGTCTTATTTTTTGTTCATCTTCAGTAAATTTATTATATATTGTATAATATAATTTTTTACAGACTTATTTAATCTGGATTACTAAATAAATTATTGAGATGCAATAATTTTTCTATTAATATTACTTCAAAAATTTCTACTAATATTACTTCAAAATATATACCTTGTCTTCAATTATATTATATATATTCGATTCGTTTCATTAATCGAAAGATATTTTGTTACTTTTTTCATTCGTTTGATCATCAGGATCCGAAAGAAAATTCGTGGCTCCAAGTTACACTGTTCCTGGCAACGAACCATGAGGCAAGGTTGCTTCTGTCCTTAATTTTAGAAGCATCGAAAAGGAACGCTTCGAGATGGCCGTCGTGACAAAAATAATAACGCATACCACACGAAAATAAGAACTTCCTTACCGCATAAGTATTTAAATTTTATTTCTATTCCATCGTTTCAAGTTCGAGTTTAATTATTCCTTACTTGCAACTTTCATCCCATGAATATACATATATATCATATTTCATTCCATATTAAATACTTTGTAATTCTGTAGAAAAATAAGAATATTATTTATCGTGTTTTTTCTGTGTGGTTTTTGATATTAATGCGTATAAAAAAAAATTTATGAATGGATTCTCATCGTGGAAGCGAGGAACGAATGCTTGGAGACTCGGAGAAAGTCGAATAGAGATTGGAGAACGTTTCACTTTCACTTTGCTCAACCAGCATGGATTCATGCTCTTTCAGGCCTGTAAATCTCGTGTTCTATTCTCGTTTCATTTTATCCTTCTGTAATAAAAATATTGAGCGTTTGTTATTATAATTTATAATCGATACTATTTAAAATTATTAAAGTTATATAATAATTAATAATTTATGCGTTTGTTTTCATTCAGATTATTGATAATTTCATCGATTGTTTATTCTATTAAGATACAAATGACACACTAATTATTTATGACAGACATTTACAATATATTGATAAATAAATCTTCAGAAATAAATAGATTTTATCGCGCAAATAAATTTTTCGTCCGTGAAAATTTCTTAAAAAAAATGAGAAAACAATAAAATAACGATTCCCAATTAAATTAATTGTTCGTTGAATGAAAGTTTAAAAACTAAAGATAATTTTATATAATACGTACATACGGAATAAAACGAGAGATACTCGACAATAATTTTAATTTATTTATCTAAAATCGTATTATTTTAACGGTGCATCATTGCGCCAGTAATTACTCTTTCGCCAGATTTAAACTTATTAGAATTATCCCTCCCCAATAATCAAACAAAATTTTGATTCGATCACAGCGGGTTAACCGAGCCCATCAATTATTTTCACTTAACGATCCATAAGCTGTTCCAACTAACAATCACACGTAATGAATTTTCAAGTAGGAATCGACTGATTATTTAGTGCGTCTAGTCTGCGTCGATACCCGAGGGGCCAAGTATCATCGTGGTCGTCAACGCGATCATTATCACCATCGTCGAATAACGATCGTCATTGACACCGAGTGATATCGTCATGGGAGCCAATTAACGACACCCCTATATATGTATATATATATATATTTATACGCGTATATATTTTCCAACGTTTCATCGAAATAACGATTCTTTTCTAATCAACCGTATACAATTATCCCGTGTATAAATTCCCAATTGTAACTCCTATTGGCTTCCAATCTCCTCAGTGATCATCCACCGGTTCTCACCGAGGCAAGAAACTTAATTGCTCCTTTTAGGTCCGATTAATTTCGAATCAATTACCCGTTTGTTTGCGCACCGTTCGTTGCGGCAAGCGGTTAATGGACGTGTAATTACACCGGTGTATCGTGTATTATTACGTAGCCATTAACGCCAGAATCTAATAAAATCCCTTGAAATTCCTTCTTTTTAAGATAAAGAGAATTTGTTAGATCGAAATTTCGTTAATCATATCGATACTCGAATTTATCGATTTAACGTGTATTTACGTTATCTATATATAGATGATTTATATATATATATCTTAATAAATTATCGCGAATTGGATTATTATGCTGTCTTTTAAAAAAGATTTATATATATATGTATACTTGAGAATAAAAATTTGCAAAAAATAACGAGTTGAAAGTAACTCGTGAAAGAGTTTTATGTATTCGTTAATGATCCGTGCATTATCTTTTATAATTAACGATGGAAAAAAATTGTGTAAATATTTATTATTATGCTATTAACTTGATAAATGACGTTTCTTGTTTAAACTATAATAATATTTGATTTTTTCACAAAAATACTCACAAAAATTTTTTACAAGCAATTATTACCATTATTCTGTCTATGGAAAATTAATGACTAACCTTGTTTGGAGAACGAACCGTGAAAAATAGGAAATGAAAAGTATCATATCCGCATGGTTTATATTCACGGTTAAATAAAGAAGAAAGATTATTTTTCTTTTTATCTCGCGTTCACCTTTATAACGGAGTAAACATAGTTTTTAAACGGGGAGAAAACACCGATGGTGGACTTTTTTTTTTTTTTTTTTTTTTTTTAAAAAAAAAAAAAAAAAAAAGCCCACCATCGGGGTTTTCCCCCCGTTTAAAAACAATTTTTCCCCCGTAAAAAAGGGGAACGCGGGAAAAAAAAAAAAAAAATTTTTTTTCTTTTTATCTCGCGTTCACCTTTATAACGGGGTAAACATAGTTTTTAAACGGGGAGAAAACACCGATGGCGGACTTTTTTTTTTTTTTTTTTTTTATTTTATATAAAGAGAGAAAGGATAAGGGGAGAAGTCGATGTTTTTTTCCTTCACAATTGAACCGGAAAATCGAAGTGATCGATCCCCCTTTTTGCGACGAGAGCTTTTGTTCATTTTCGCGTGCACGCAAGTTTATCAAGCTAATTAACCGCTTCTTCGAGATGAATTTCACGCAAAGATGCTATTCGATTATTACGAGTTATTTAAATTAATACGAACTCTTTGAGAAATTGGATCGTTTAATAAGATTCTCCGTCTAAATCTAAATTTCTTCTTCTTCTTCTTCTTCTTCTTCTTTCTTCAAATTTCGTTATTTGTTATTGAAAAGAATTATTTTCACAAAATTACGTACGAAATTTTTTCGATATCTCGATTATCAATCTTGTACACTTTTCGAATTCTTTGGAATAAATTTGCAAATATATGAAACGGATTTCTCGTGTTTCTCGTGCAATGGAACGGTGTGGCCGGTTTCTCGTAGGTGGTACGAAAAACACCAACTGAAGAAACGTTTTCAAATAATTTATTTAACCTCGTACTTCGTAATGACATCACGTTACTTTACAATTAATCCAAGAATTACACGTTACTCTAATTTTAAAAGGAAACAAAAAAATTGTGTTGTGATCGGTCGCAGAAGCGCTCTATACAAAGTAGTCGAAATTCTTCGGGCAACGAGGTGTCGGGGGGTTTTGGTGGCGAAAGGGTTGAAATTCGAAAATGTATCTCGCGCGGCCCTTTTGACGGAAAAACAGTAATCTCCTTCTTTTCCTCTCGAAAAGAGATGCCAAAAATTGGTAGTGATCGCGAATGTAATGAACGATCGCTGGAGATCAATGTGCTTTTCTTTTCTTTTCTTTTCTTTTCTTTTTTTTTTTTTTTCTCTCCCTTCTTCTTCGATTCTTCGTTTCTCGATCCGCGAAAAATGAAATTTAAAGCGTGTAGACAAAGTATTAGTAGACATTGTATACAGATATGCATAATCGATATCAAAGATGGCAAGGTTTTGAAGAATATTCTTCAAGGAATGCGAAAATAAAAGAGTATATTAATTAAAACAACGCGTAGGCGTGCGATAATTAAATAAATACGTACGACACTTCGATTATTTAGGATTGGTTGTGTGTATGTGTGTGTATTTAAATGAGATTTAATCCCTTATAGAAATAGTGGCACATATTTTTCACTTTTTTTTTTTTTTCTTTAATTTACAACATATGTAATTCCAAAAGATACAAAGATACAATCGTATGTGTACATTAATTAATTTCCTCTGATTCGTTTAATCCGTTCGTTTAATTAATAAAGAAAGAAAAAATAATTTATATATATTTTCTTAGACCTCGAGGACGAGAGACAAAAGATTAAATTATCTTTTTCTTGCCTTCCGTGTAGAAAACAGAAAATATAATCTTCTTATACAGGCAGTTCATACTTCACTTACGTTTATTACTTATAGAAATTTTTTTTCACCACAAATTTCTGTACCAACATTCGGACTTCTTGTTGAAATCCAAATATCTTGTACGCAGATACATATCTATAGGCAATGTCTGTAAGTTTACACGCTTTCAACCCGATTATTCGGATATTCCACGCATCATCTCCGTTCATTACGATCGCTTAATTAGTAACATTAAATGGCAGTTTGTTAAGGTGATCGGATCAATCACCGGATTTTGAACGTTTTTTTTTTTTTTTTTTTTTTTTTTGAAACCTGAGAGATATCGTGACCTTCGACATCGATCGATCACCAGAGATCACCATGTTTCGTTTTCGTTCGAAAGATATCAATTTGCGTGTCACGAATTCCTTTGAAAACGAGACAACGATGTTATTGCATCGATTTTCTTCATTCCTCGAGGTCCACTGAGGCAGGTAAAATTGTCTTTGAAATTGAAAATTCTCGAATAATTGCCTTTCACAATTAAATATGTTTATCACTCAACTGGAAAAAGATTTTTCCCCTTAAAATAATTAAACTTAAAGATATGAATTTTTACGTACTAATTAATTATTTCTTTTTTTTTTAAACAAATTGTTATTCTTCTTTTCAGAAGCATATTATAAGAAGTGTAAAGAAATCACAAAATAAAATTATCTTAAAAACCATCTTTTTTTGGAAGAATGATAGACATATCTGGGCTAAACGTAAAAATTAATATTTGGCATAAACGATTTTGACAATACGATTCAAAAAAAAAAAAAAAAGTTCTATTAAATATTCCCAATTCAATTTATCCAACGAATGCAGAGTACAAAGATCGAATTGCTCGAAATTGCTGGGTATTTGTCTCTCGCGAAAAATATCTCGCTGTTCCTTTCAACCCCTCGAGAAATGAATACGTGAGAACACGGATGGAGGAGCCAGGTTCTTTTGTTTCATTTTGCGAAATTATATATATATATATATATATATTTTTTTTCTCGTGAATCGTGGCCGAAGAAGATCCGAGATGAAAGCGAGATCAACAGAGGACAGGCGTTCGAGAGTCCCTCTTCGAAGGATCTCATCCCTTTTTTTTTTTTTTCGCAGAATTTTTCCTTTCATCGATTATTATTACGCATATCTATCTTTGGGGGCAGGTCAACTTCCGCCAAATCTCGCGTCGTTCGTTCGCTCGTTGAACGAAATTCTGCCGCATGTTCCAATCGCACGCAATGGAGAAGATTGGATCGTTCTCCATAATGATCTAGATTCTATCAAAGGAGAGAGAAAGAGAAGATTTTGTAACTTCCATGTTCAATTAATTTAAAAAAAAAAAAAAAGAAAAAGAAAAAAAGAAAGAAAAAAATCATGCTTCAGTCGAGTAATGACTGAAGATTTTGCAATTTATAGCGAATTTTTTATTTTTTTTTGTTCGTCGATTTTAAAATTCTGACTTGTATCGATGAACAGATTATCTATCCATTTTCTCATCATTCCATCGAGGGATGAGAAAGATTTGTCATATTTTATCCAATCTTTTTAATCGTTTGTTCTTACGCTGAGATT